TCAGCTTATGTTCGGACAAGATACAGTATTACCAGCTGAGCTCTATGTACCGTTGTTTCGTATTGCTGAAAGCATGTTGGATTTTGACGGAGAGTATTAACAGGGCATGATGCAGCAATCGGAGGATCTGGGCGTTCATCGCTTTGAGGCAATTGATCATATGGTCAAATAAGGTCAAGTGCAGGCTAGAAAATATAATAAAGAACTCGTTACAAGACTTTTAAAGAGTGAGATCTAGTTTGAAAAACTATTTTACCAACTTACAAAAAGATTGATCAGTCAAGGAAATGGTCCCCTAATTGGGAAGGACCTTTTGTGGTTTTTAAAGAAATTGAAAATTGAGCATTTATTATTATGAATCAAGAAGAAAATATGGTGCATGACAACATTAATGCACATTATCTAAAAAGGTATTATCTTTGCCTTTTCAGGTCACAGTGAATAGTTGTCTTATGAAATTAGTTTGAACTCATCAAGGGTTCAAACCCTTGGAGGGTTTCATTCGTCTTCTGATAGGGTGATGCAAGGGTGTTCTTCTTTCTCCAATTCAGAATCCTCATCCCAATTGGTGGATACTAGTTCTGGTTACTCGTACATGAGGTTTTTAAGACCGGGTCGATATTGCTCTCATTATTCCTGAATCTCTTTCAGGTCCTGTTCAGTTCGGGTTTTCATGTCTTGTAAAGATTGGCTTTCTCGATCTACTAAAATATGTAATCGTGCGAATGATGATCTTTGCTGGCCAAATACATTGTTCTAATTGAGATCATGAAGAATCGCCATGACATGGTGTTCTATCAGATCCATGTGATGGTCAAGGTCAGGAATCCGACTAAGGATATCGCTTAGTGTTTCATATCCAATGGAGACACGTTCCATTAGGAGAATTACACGATGCATGACTCTTCTTTCTTGGGAGAAAATTTGAATTTGAAATCCATTTGTTTAAGTACTTGTATTAGATTTTCAGCATGGCCGCCAACGAGATGTTGCCCTACGAAGAAAGGTTGCAGGTAATTTTCCCAATTGATAGATAAAACTTGAATGCGGGGGGAACTCATCTTTTGGAGAATTTGAAGAATGTTCAGTTAATAACCCATGGACAAGTTTGATTTATTTATGGACGAAAAAAATTGAAGTTCAGTTGTGGTTTTGTGGTGGTTAATTGTGCAAATTATGTTTTGATCCATGAGTATAGGCGTATGTGTTAGGTCAAAACAAATGTTATTTATTAAATAGTAGGTTACAAACGAGACAATAACGCATCCAGGACAGTGCTAAGGTCGCTCTATTTATGTTCGGACCGAGCCGCCCTTCTCTGTTGGAATGCTGTCTTATGTTCATGTATGAGCCTCGAACGGATGGATGCTTGCAGGGCATCACACAAGGTTATTCGACTTTTTCTATAATCAGCAATCAGACACCTCGCTTCTTCAATGCAGTCATCCAAGGCGGTGTGCTCTTTTTGCAGATTGTCCAACTCTCTTTGAAGACGCTCAAGTTCTTTTCTTCTCCTGTTAATGTCCTTGGATAAGGTTCTTTAGGCGTGCAGGAGACTGTTCAACCTCGCGTCGGCCTACTTGAGGTCCTCATTTGTCTTTGATAAGTTTGTTTCAATGGTCTTCGCGTCGGCTGTGGACGGAGGTTAAGAGGAACCGACTGTTGGAGGTCGGATTACTGAAAAGTCGGCTTGAAGTTTGGCTATCTGCTCCATTAGTCGGTGGAGAACTGGAGTAGCCGCCGACTCAACAAAATGTCGATAAACAATTCAATCACGACCTAGGTCAAAGATTAAAGATCTTCAAGCCTCAAGTTAGCAAATGACAGCGTGGCGCAATGAGTCACCACTGGTTGGGCGGCTGTTGGAAGTGATACTCGAGAAATGAAGGACATATCAAGATTACGCTGTAAAAATCAAACAAAATGCTTAATGAAGTTGGATATTCAACAAGAATTGGAAGTTTTGGGAAAGAGAATTACCTGACCCTGAACGGAGGTTGTGTCGGAAAGGGCTAAGACTGGAGGAACTCGTTGGGGCACCCGTAGGGGTAGATCTCAGAGCGCCCAGGCTCCGACACCAGATTCTTCCCCTGTGGGGAGTTGGTTGGGGCTGGCAACTGCTGGTTCGGAGCCCCGTTTGTATGGAAAATAAGGATCATGAAACTGTTCGGACATTGGAAATATTCAAAGGAGAATGTTAACTTACCACTCCTTTCAAGTCTTAGTTGATGGAAGCCTCCCCTGATTCGGAGGATGACAACTCCTCGATGAAAACTCCAGGGCGATTATCAGCCATTGGGGGGTCGACCGCTGAAGATGCAGCCTTAGGTGGGGCGCCCACCGAAGGGCTGACCGCCTAAGAAGCGCCACTGGAGATGCGGCTGCTGGGGGGTTGGTGGCAAGAGGTAGTGGTGTAACCGCGGTAGCAGGAATGTTATGGGATTACCAGATGTGGTCAACAAATTTTTCAGATAGGATTCGGAATATTGACAATCAAGGGACAAGATCATACTTACCGAGTTCGGTTGCGTGACGATTGGGATTCTAGGATCCTCAGTTGGAAGAGGAGTTTCTCTCTCATTCCGTTCTTCTGGCTGACTAATCATTGGCGTTTCCTCCTAAGGGGGAATGAGGATTGGTTCGGGTGTTGGTACCTGTATAAGAGAAGTGTGAGAGTTGGTATCGATTGTTCTAGTCGGTTGAGTTGTTGGTACTGGAGTTAGATGAGAAAGCAAAGTAGGGCCAACTACAAAGAAGGCTTGTCAGACACAAATAAGTGTGAAATTACAAACATATGAAATCGGACTTACTGAAACCGCTTCGGATATGAGGGGGCATCTAGTGTGTGTTAATGGGCAAAGAAGCCACGTAATCTTGGACTGCCTGGCGATCCATCGGTTTGGATGGTTTGGTTTGTACGGTTGTTCTTGTTTTTTTCTGTTTTGGTTTGCTGGGGGTATCATTGGCGGCAACCACCCGTCTTTTGCGCGGCACTAGCACAAGACGAGATAGTACCAGCGCCGGTGTTTGTGTTAGGGTCTTCAACATTTGGTTGGACGATGGGATGAGCAGGGCCCAGGTGGTTGACCACCATTCTCTGGAGGATTCGACGGTTTGAGGTTGGATTTTGAAGGGAAGGTAGGAGTTAGAGGTGATATAGGCAGAAAGCTGGGTCAGATACGGTTGGATGAGTTCGGGAATAACCAAGCCGTCTGGACTTTGGGTTATTAGATGAGGACGGGCTAGCGGACTAAGAAGACCTTGACAACAGCCGAACTGGTGCGCCAGATATTGAGGTCGGTAGTTAAAGATATAAAAGGACTTATTGTTCTTTTTGTCTATTCTTTTGCTAGGAAAAAAAAATCTTGGTTTTAAGGTAGCATCCCAGGAAAAGGGATAGGTTAGACGAGGTAATGGATTCGGGTATGGTAAAGGGTAATAAGTGCCTAGGTAGAACCAGAAGAGTTCAGTAGCATATTGCACTCGACTTTCATAGACATAAAAGCGAGAGTTGCTACGACTGTCGGAAGTGATTTGCTGGATAATGTGGTCGGAAAGTTTTAATTCGGATTGTTTCGGGGCACATGGAGGCAAAGGTCAAACCAAGAGAACGGTCGTTTCCTGGGTTTATGGGTGGTCGGTTGTAGAAGGCGGTTGGGAAATATAATAATATTTGTACAAAAAATTATAATAAATGTAAATATATTTTTAATGTTATAAATAATGATGTTAAATACAAATTGATAAATCGGCGGTGAACGAAAATAGTAATATTTTTTTCCGAAAAATTCAAATATTAAAAATTTAGAATTTGGATGGTAAATAAACAGAGCATAAATTTTAGTCTAAATAAAAGTTTGATTGTTTAATAACATGATAAATAATAAGACACTATTCTTAAGAGAAAAAAAAAACATACTTGCATGGTTTCGTTTTGTATTTTCTATTCTAGTTTGTATTTTCTATTATAGCTTCTATTATGTAATTTACTGATATTTCCTCATTTTGTTTTATATTCCAAAATATCAATTCCATTATTATTTTGTGTTGATAAATAATATTAATAAAATTTAAAAAATTTCGGACATGCGGGCGGGCGCATTCACCCATCCAAAATAATAATAATAGTAAATACAAAGCATGGCCATCCAAACAGAGGCTAGGATGGATTATTCAAGAAATGCTATGATGGAAGAAATTCGCAAATGGACGGCTGAAAATTGACGTGGAGAAGTTCAAGCGCCAGGGCTTACGTAATGCCAACAATGCCTTCCAATATTATTTATTTATTTATTTACGTACGGCCAGTGTCACCCATTTATCAATAAAAATTTAAAACTTTGGTTAAGATTTTGATTTCATTTTAAACACACAATTGAAAAAATTAAATATATAAATATATAGGTAGAGGTTTTTGAAATTTTATAAATTTTTTTAAAAAAATAAAATATTAATATTTGATTAAATATTTTATAAAAGAAAACATGAATTTAATATAATATTTATTTAAAAATGAATACTGTGAAACGAGTAGGAGTGTGTTACGATAAAAACAAATTTAAAAAAAAAATTATTTTGATATATATATATATATATAATGGGGATAGAATATTAAAGGAGAATCCGGAACATCATCCGACCGTCCATCTTAGAGCGATCTGGAAGGATTGAATTGAAAACCCCTTGGGCACGTTTCTATCCATCTCCACATTTATTTATCTTTTCCATCATTCAATACCCAATAATAAATAAATAAATAAAAATAAAAGATTCTTTTATCGATAATGCTATTAATATTTAATAAAATTAAATTACATACGTAGCATAATAATAATCATTCACTCTTATATATGGTATGTAGCATAATAGAAAAATATATTACATATATATATATATATATATATTTGGTTATTCTTCGGATTGATTTAATTTAATTTAATTTAATTAATAATATTATTATGGTTGTAATTTAAAACTACGACCGCCTTATAAATTTCTCCTAAAGTCCCTTTCCTTGTAGTCTTTCCTTTCCCCTTCACCGTCTATGACCAGCCGTCTCTCTCCTCTTCTCCTCCCATCGTCGTCTTCTTCCTTCTTCCTTCGACATTTCCACTTTTGCACCTCTGCTGCTGCGTTCGGTGTTCTGTCTCTCAGGTATGATTGCTTGCTTTCATTGATGTATCGATTTATTTAATATTGTTTTATGGATTGGAGTAGATTGGATTGTGGGGGTTTTCCTGTGGTTTTGTTTCTCTTGGTTTTTCAGTAGTGTAACAGAATGTTGAATAATGTTGGTTTCTGCGTTCGTGTTCAGATTCTTGTTGCGTTTGTTTGAGGCTTTGGAAGGCTGAGTGGTTTTGCGGTATCGAGACTACCTTAGGAGTTAAGAAAGTCGTCATGGTATTTTCATCTGTACTGTTGTTACTGTGCAGTAATGAACAGAGCATACTTTTCTCCCTCAAAAGGAGAGAAAAAGTTGTTTTTAATTTTCTTTGACTGGAATTGTACTCGTTTTGATTTGATAGTGAGAGAGAAAGGGGGGAGGATTTTGTGGTGGTCGAGTGATTAATTGATTGATTGGATTTGGTATGTTAATCAATTGATAGGGCGGATTTTTGCAGGTGAGTCCGATGGAAAACGAGGAGATTGGACCTCCGTGGTTGAAACCAATGCTGAAGGCTGATTACTTCATTCCGTGTGCGTTACATTTGGATTCCAACAAAAGCGAATGCAACTTGTTCTGCTTGGATTGCATGGGGAATTCCTTTTGCTCTTACTGTTTGATTCATCACAGTAGCCATCGAGTTCTTCAGGTCTCATACTCATTCATCCCTTTCTTCGTTACCATTTTGGATGAAGTAAACTTGTTGAATGAACATAGCCATAACTACTAGCTAAATGAGTTGTTGTTTCTTCTGGATTTCGATTACAATTTGGTAAAGATATAAGAGTAATGAATTGCAGATTAGGCGATCTTCGTATCATAACGTGGTGAGGGTGAATGAGATTCAGAAGTATATTGACATATCGTGCATCCAAACGTATGTGATTAACAGCGCCAAGATTGTGTTCCTGAATGAAAGACCTCAGCCCAGACCCGGCAAGGGAGTGACCTACACTTGTGAGATCTGTGCTCGCGGCCTTCCAGATTCCTTTCGATTCTGCTCTCTTGGCTGCAAGGTTAGTCCAGTCCTCTCTTGTTCTTTATCCACATTTGTGCATTTTACCATTAATTCTTAATATTCCTCAACTCAACTGTCTTGTCTTGTTCGTCATCTATATTATAAAAAATAAAAATGGATGTAAATGAGACTGTACGTGTAGCTGTTTCTTGGTCTCCTTCGTTGAATTCTAGAAGCAGCTTTTATATATATATATATGTGTGTGTGTGTGAGTGTGTGAATGTGCACAATTTATCATGATTATTCTTATTTTTGCTAACTTATTTTGACACGTTCGCTTGATCCCTTTGTCCCAATAATTGATTGCTAATTTGTACACATTCAATCAATCTATGAATTATAGTGTCCTAGAACCATTTTGCCTATATGCTCTAACTTAAGTAAAGAATCTAAATTTGGCCTTTAACCAGTCCCCTGTTTTTCATCAAACCATAGTTAAATGGCATGAAGAGAGGCGATCAAGAGCTGACATTTTCCTTAAAGTTCAAACACAATAGGGGAGACTTGCAAGAATGGGATTCAGATGAGTCCTCCACCCCAAGGAAGATCCACAGGGCCAATGCCTTCAGCCGGCTTTCCGATGGGCATACTTTCTCGGCGCACGAGAGGTTCTCAAGCTCGAGCAGCTCCGGCGACGAGGGCGGCCACAATCTCTCCCCGGCAACCCCTCCATTGTTCAATCACGCGAATTCCAGCCGGCGAAAGGGCATCCCGCATCGTGCGCCCTTCTAACTATCATAGTGCAAATTGCAGCCTCAGACTTTGAAGAAAGGTAATGAAAGCATAGGTAAATTATTGTCCTCCATCTTTTAGCTGAAGGGTAAGAAAATGTATACATAGATCAATGCACACACATACATATACATACATACATACATACATACTGTGTATATACTTGGGTTGGGTTGCTAGTGTACATACATACATACATATATCTATACACACATCTTTGCTGAAAAATCTAATTAGTGTTTCTACTTTCGAAGGAATATGAGCTCAATGCAGACAAAAGCTACATATGTTTTCTTTGGGGATAGCATTTTGTAGGCTTTCAGTAGTAGTTTTAATTTATTATTTATTAATGGTAGCAGTATTTGTTTAGTTACATTGGACTGTGTGTCTGGAAATCATTTTGGGTTGCTGAATCATTGCAATACGTGGGAAGGGGGAACAGAATTGGGTCCACAGCCATTGATGGTTTCCTTTTTGAGATGCTCTAATTTAATCAGATTGTTTAGTAGTTTTAGTATTTAATTTAGATTTTTAGTATGTGTGAATTGGGGAAGGGACAAAAGCTGAGCTGAGCAGAGCAGAGCAGTGCAGTGCAGTGCAGTGCAGGTGTGCGGAGGAGGAGGAGTTGGAGGAGGAGTAGATAGATAGACTTGGAAAGTTTTAGTATTTTTTAACTCATTGATGATAATGATGATGCAGACTCTCTCTGAGTTCTCTTTCTCATTTATATATATATATATATTTTTAATAGTGATGATTACGTAATTAGACAAGAATAAGTTTGGAATTTTGGGTGGTGTAGAATGAGGGTGAGGGTGTTGATGTCAGAGAGAGAGAGAGAGAGAGGGGTTAGGGGACACGTAACAGCCCACCATGGACAGGGACTCTGATGTCGACACCTTTCTAGCCCTTCCTTTATTTTATTTTATTTTATTTAATAAATAACCATTTATCTCTTGATGCTTATTCTTTTTAATAATATGCTAGCTACAACTAATCATAATAATAAATTTGTAGTTTGCTAGAATATTAATTAATTAATTAATTATATAGTGTAGGAACAAGTGGAGGGCAGAGGCGTGAGGAATCTGCCAAAGTCTGCGTGATTTTGCCTCTTCACTTGTACTGCATGCATCACTAATTATTTATTTTATTATTTATATTTCTAAGCCCAGCTCGTTTTTGTTTGAATAAGCTAAGTATTAATTAATGTTGGATTTATGAATAGTGATGCACAAAATATCTGAAGAATGTAAACAATAAATGAATTGGAAACACAAGTTCATACAATGAATTCATTGGTAGAAAATACTACTACTCAAAACCCTAAAATCGATGTTCAAATAACTAGTGCCGGATCACACGATTCCCAATATATAAATATTTATAAGCAAAACTACACAAAATTCATGGTAATTTTACAAAATTGTGTCTTACTTGTAAAATTACATATTCCCTCCCTCCTATCTTAAAGTTGATCATCTTGTTTCTCTATTTTATTTTTCTCTTGAGCCGCTGTACCAAATAAATTCTAAGAGAGATATTTAGTGTGGGATTGATACAAGTAAACCGATATTTCATCCCCCAAAAATAACCCAAGACAAGAATCTCACATCACTAATACAAAAAATTATCAATTTTGTAAACGAGATTTTTTCGTTCCTAAATTCTTTTTTTTTTTGTTATTAATGATATTAGAAATGAAATTACGTTAGCTACGTGAACTTTAGGAACATAATTTCGTTACAAATATATATATATATATATTTTTTTAGTGCATATACAAACTCATTTACCAATTTTGTGGCTAAAAAAGAAAAAGGGGAAAAAAAAAAAACACCGCGAATATATCACATAGAAAGAAAATACTATCAAAACCCTAAAATCAACATTCAAATAACTGACGAGCTGTCAATGGCATATGTTGGGCTTTAACACTGGGCCTTGATCATCTTAGGCCCAAACCTACCAAATATATTTTCGCTTCACTATTGTTAAAAATGTTAAAAAAATACTCAACCACTTAAACTGTCCTCAACAATTGAGGATTGCTATAGAAGATAAAATTACATAATTAACATGACATCATTTAAAGAATTTGAGATTGGTACAAGTTCGTACGTTCTATCACGAGTTTCCGACCTTAACCACAATTTTAAAATAAAAGAATTAATTGATCCATAAAATATGTTCACAACTTAAATTCAAAATTCAAAATTTGTTACTTGATTTTGTTAATATATTTTTAAAAATATGTAATTAAATTTATTTTGACTTCTCTTCACTTTTGCGTATCTGAAAATTTAAAACCTTTGGTGTTTGTTTGATTTTGATTTGAATGGACGTTTTTTAATTAAATTTTGATTGAAAATAAATTACAATTTAAAGTTAGATACGAGGTTAGAAGATAATTTTTATTAATATAAAATTATATTTTATTCAATTATTTGAAAAAAAATAATGGAAGATAATAAACAAGACAAACCTACCATTAAATTTAACTATATATAGCGTTTGAAACTTTGATTCTTTTATTGAGAATTAATTTCCTTTCAATGGATGGTTTTTTGAAGTTGAGCCCTTATAATTTGTAATTTATTCAATTAATATCATGTTATCACTTAAAATATTAAACATAATATAAATAAAATCACCTATAGTGGATCGAGTAATGATGTCACTGGCACATATATTTGAACTTTGTTTATATGTGAACCACACTAGCTCTTTCTTTTTACTCTCTCCGTCCATTAAAATTAAAGGGGCAGACACGAAAATTAAGAAAAATAAATATTTTATTGAAAAAATAATAGGTAGTTAGAAGTATTTTTAAAAATATAGTTAAAAAGTAAAGTAAATAAAGAGAGAAGGTAATAAAGTTAAATATTTATTGTAAATAAATGTTGAATGAAAGATAATAATTAAATGTTGATTTGTTGACTTTGCCAAAATTAGTAATTAAATAATTTTAGTGGACGGACTAAAAAGGAAAGTGAGAATAAATTTAGCGGAAGGAGGAAATATTTTCTATTAAATCATACACAAAATTAGACATGTTAAAACGGGTTAGCGGGACGGATTGACCCACAACCCACCATAACCTGCAAATAAGCGGGTTGTTTGTGGGTCAACCCGCAACGGGATGGATCAAAATTTCATTAACCCAATACAACCCACCGGTGGGTGGCGAGCTAAGCGGGCTAGGCCATGGGTTTTTTAAAAATATTAATATTATAAATATTTTTTGTGATTAATATTTAAAAATAGTTAAAAATAGTTTTATTGTAGAATTTAAATAATAAATATTTAAAATAAACAACAAAATAAAAATTTTCAATTTTAAATATTAGTATTAGTTAATGTATTTAAAAATAATAATAATAATTTTTTTATATATATAAATCATAATTAATTTTATGAATCTTTGAATAGACTCTAGAATTAAAAAAAAAATTATAAAACAATAAAATGGGAGACGAACAAAATAAATTATGTAAAATCGAAATAAATAAGATAGAGAAAAAACACAGCATGTAGACAATATTCATTAAGTTATTTAAGTTAATAATAATATAAATTTTATTTTATTCGTCTTAACTAAAATTATCTTTTTTCAATAGATTAAAAATAATAATATGTTATTTAAGTGTACACGATGATTTTGATATTTTTTTACTCTTTGTACGTTATTTATTTGTAATTTAAATAAAATTAAAATAACTCTGATATTAATATTTGATTACTTATATTATAATTTTTTAGTGTGACAAAAAAAAGTATAAAAATACATTTAGTTGAGACGGGTGAGTGCTAATTATTGTATTTACTTGGCTGCGGGCTAACCCACGGTCCACGTGGGTTGACCCATTTAGGCCCGCATTTTAACGGACTTAAAAAAATCACAACCCTATCCTCCTTAAAAGTGAGGAGGGGCGGGTCAACCTGACGGACTCAATCCATTTTGATGGCTCTGACAACAACAACAACAACAACAACAACAACAACAATAATAATAATAATCCCTCTGTCTCGGATAAATTGTCCGAATTACTGTATATACGAGAATTTAAGTAAAATATAATTAGTAAGTCAATAAAAAAATTTATTAGTAAAAATAATTATTATATAATAAAAGTAATTTTAAATTAAAATTAACATAAATAAATAATTTAATTAAAATTTAAAAAATGTGATTAAAACGTATAATTATATTTAAAAAAAATAAATTATGTAAAACATACAAAAATAAAAAATATAGAAATTTATTTGAACAAATGGAGTAATTAAAAATAAAAGTTGGTCAAAAATTAAAATAAAAAACAAAATGGAATAAAATTATTTCTTAGGCAATAACATTGTATTCACCGATATAGTGTGTTTTCAAGAAATATAGCTTATTTAATTAACATAATTGTACAAAACTCCCCCGCGGTTTCATAAAAATGCGCTAAATTTTTCATATTTTAAAAATTGCATCAGATACTCTCATGGTTTTATAAACTCTACATCTAATCTCCCGGCCGTCCTTAATTAACTGTGTTTGACCTGCACCCGGCCAAACTGCGAGTGAATTTCAGAAGCACTAATTCTAAACTTTTGAAATTAAAAATATATTTATTATTCCTATATTAGCTTTAAGGAACAATAAAAATATACTCCTAATTTTTTTTTTCTTTTATGATTCTAAGAATTTATTTAGTGTTTCTTGAGGCTAAATATAAGAGGAGTAAATTTATTTGTAATTTCAAAGGTTTATAAATGAAGATTCTGAAAATCATTCGCAGTTTGGGTGTGCACATAGTTTATGAAACCATAAGGGAGTCTCACACAATTTTAAAAATACGAGGAATTTGACCCAATTTTATGAAACCATAAATGAGTTTTATGAAATTTTGCTTATTTAATTATATATATTACATGTTCTTCGTCAATGATAGTGCTATTTTGTGAAAGAAAATACACATAAGATCCTTAAGGTATCTCATCTTCATGTCTTTCGCATGAAGCACTCTATAGAAACGTGAACATAAAAATTATGATACATATAAAGAATTTGAATTAACATGAACGAATATGTTATTATATAACATAACAAACCTTTAGAAATCTTGAGTTGGAATGTGTACATTTTTATACCTTCTTTTATTGTGACAATATTGTAAACATACAATACATGTATGTGTCAACCAACGTTTCGAGGACTTATGTCATCTAAAACAACATTTACATAAGGTCTACGAGCCTTTAAGTACATTTTTTTACTTATGGAGGGTCTATAGAGCTAAATAATGATTGTTCATTCTCATACATACCCGAGACTTGATTAATCATATAACTATAAAATCTTATGTATGTGTCTTTGCTAAAATATGTATCAACATATTCAAGAGGGTCTTGTTTGTCCATAGAAAGAGTTGCAATTGCATAATAATAAGGATACCCAACCAACTGAAACATACAACAACTAAAATGTCTTGATGCAAAATGCACAACATGATTAGATTGCCAATGCATCACCTCAAAATTTTCATCCCAGTCCAACTTGAATAACAACTCTTTGTTGTTTCTCTATTTTCTTGACAATATTCAAACAAACAGTACCCGTGTATCTTCGCATGCCCTTTCTTTTGACTTGTATATGTGTCATGCACTTCATTGAAATCTATTCAAACATATCAATCATAGGAAGGTATCATGCTTCTGTAATGTAGTTATTGAATGATTCACTTATGTTTTTCACCAATACAT